TAAAAATTAAAAAAAATAAAAAATAATAATAAAATAAATAAAAATACCGCTGTTAAATTAGGTACAGGTGAGACACCTGAAAAAGATTGGAAAACGAAACATCCAGGTGGGCTTGCACTTTTGAAGACCTTAGCTTGCTGCAGCCTCCTTTACCCGGCAAAGCAATAAAGCTATTGTCCTCTTTACCCAAAAACGAAACAAAACAACCAATGAATCATATATAGCTAGGATTTTGCTCTTGGTTTTTGTTTCACAAATACCTGAGTTTCAACGTACTGCAAAAAACATTAGAAGTAGAAACTATGGATCATGCTTTGTGTGTGTGTTTTATTAAATGAAGTCACTGGCAAACGCCAATCAGCAGACACACACTCAAAGAAAAGGCCATGGCCCTATGACAAAAAAAGGGTGAGGCTTAAAAGTAGGTGTATGGACATACACTGAAATATTTTAAGTCAAAACAGAATGTTTCCAGCACATATGCGTCATTCCTTAGGCTTCCCTCTCTTTAACCCAGCAATCAGTGCGCTCGAGTGCAGGAGACCGAGTGGCTTTTCCCGTATCTCACTCACCAGCTCAGGGTCGTCCTCCTCCACATTTGTAGGTTTTCCTTCCTTCTTTAATTGCTTTTTTCTCTCTTTCACCTAAAAAGAATTTTTTTCATCAAAAAATTGAGAATATCCATTAAGCTGCACACATAAGGCATGGGCACTTTCTGCAGGTACAGGCAGGACAAAAGGTTTACGTGGAAATAAAATGAGCCTCTGCCCCTCCCCTCCACAACAGCAATGCAATCAAAGGAGAACTAAGAACCAGGGGTCTTCCCCCTAACCTCATCTAAAATCCAATCCACCAGGAAGGATGCAAGGGAACCAGCAGGGAACTTGTCCCCAACTCCTCAGATCCTAGGCCAGAGCCAAAGAGCCTTGGATATGTTTATCAGATTACCCATTTCTCTTTTGCGGCCAGTAGTTATGTGTTTATAGCAAAGAAACTATATTTGTCAAGTTTTAGAAGAAGCTATCAAATTTGTGGCATTAAGTTTAACTGTTTTCTGGTATTTCAACAACTGCATTATTGATAGTTTTCACTGTGAAACCCCCTTAAACCAATCATATTAACTGATGTTTTTTATTGCTTTGGTCACCACTGAGATCTAAAAAAGTAAAATTAAATATACTTCTTCACACAAGAATGTCATTACTCTATTAAACCACCCACTACTGATCCAGCAAAAAGCCAGTGCCTTCCAAGCTCAGAACAACGCTACTGCCACCTTGTGGCCAGAAAGCCTGAGGATGGCTCCCTTACAGGCAAAATACAGAGGAAAAGTAACTACCACAATAATTTAGGGAGAACTTGTCAGGTCCTTTTCTGATTTCGACCAAAATTTGACCTATAGGTACCACTTCCAACACATGACCAGCAAGACATAGTTATGGCCATCCTTCTCCGCTTTTTACTCATTTTTTTCATCTCATTTGGACTCATTATTATTATTGGTTATACAGTTCTGTTTCAGATTCCAAAGCTCTTCAAAGAGAAGGTCACACCTATATTCACTCCCAACTGAAATAGCTCTTACGAATGGCCTCACGATTCTTGCCCCAGCAAGTAAAAAATTAAAACAAAGACCCTTCTTACCTCAAGCAAGCCATCTTAACACTTCCCACCACTCGGGAGATTTAGGTAATGCAAAAAAATAAAACTAGCTATAACTGAATTTATTTTAGTTGAATCCTTCCCAAACCCTGTTATTAATACAGATATGCACCTCCTATTTTAAAAAAAATTTACTCATGTCCCCTTGCCAATCTTTCTCAAGCCCATGTTCCAACCCCTTCACAGAGACAAGAATAAAAATCCAGGGTCAAGGATCATCATGGCTGCTCCACTCTTCCACTCTCAGAACTGGGTAATGTGACAACACTGTGATGAGAGGGCATGAGAGGACCTCTCTCCGCAGCATGGGGCTGGTAATGAAAGAGGGAGAGGCTGCCTCCTAGACACTCCACATCCTGCGCTCCAGGGCACACACCATTCATGAGCACCACAGCAAACTTTCGGAGACCAGATAAGAGGTCACAAGTTACACCAGTAGGTACTGCTATGTTAACATTTACCCTCCTGCAAGGTGCCCAAGGCTTGCTAATACTTCCTGTAAACACAGCAGCACTATAAATACTTACAGTGTGTTCCACGTATTCTTTTCCTGCCTGAATTACATCCAGGGCCCTCTTCTTTTGTTCCTGATCCAGTAGCAACTTGTAAGCTTTGTCCACAGCTAATGCAAAACATTGAAATTAACTGTTTCTGCAAACACCCTCTGAAAGTCTGAACTATACTCAGGCAGTGTAAATGGACTTGTGCCATCTAAAAGCATTCCCTACTTTGTTAAATTATTTATTGTCGTTAAACTAATTTAAAAACATACAACTATAGCAATGACTTTCCTTGAGAGCCTTGGAAAAAATTAAATATACCCTCAAGACTAAATACACCACATCTAGATTTAATTCAGTGATAAAATACTTCCAATTATTTTTTTATGTTCAAAAAAGAAAAATGATCCTACGCAGTAACAGTCTTTCTTGGCACATAAAAGTTTTAACAAAGCAAAGTTAAGATCTATTTCTTAAACAGCAACATTCTGCTTTGGAATGACAACTGTTCTACTGGAAACCACAGCTTCTTCATCACCAGAAGACAAAACTGTAACATTCCTTTCTTGATCCAGGACAAGGAACAGTTAGTCCCTAGCATTGATAAAATATTACTCGGAAGCAGGTAAATTTACAAATACCTTCAAAAGCCTTTTGTGCTCTGTCAGCATCATCTTGGTTTTTGTCAGGATGCACCAATATGGATAACTAAAATAAGAGGAAAGTTAGGTTTGTCAATACGAGGAACATTTAGTAACTCTTCACCTGCACTGCGCCTCTTTACAACCAAAAGCTCTAAGGTGTTATGGCAAAGAAAGACTGTCAGCTAGAAGCACTTTTAACAAATTAATAAGTATCATAAATGTGTAGAAATACTGGTCCTTAAAATTCAAGCACCAAAAGGTAAATGCACAGCTGAGAAACACGTAGGGTTTTTTTTTTTTTTTGTGGAATTTTTTTTTATTCTTATGTTAATCCCCATACATTACATCATTAGTTCTAGATGAAGTGTTCCATGATTCATTGTTCGTGCAC